GCAGCAGCAGCAGCAGCAGCAGCAGCAGCAGCAGATGCTGGATCCTGAAGGTGCTTGTGACTTAGGAGCAGCCCACAAGATGAACAAAACAATGTAAGTGTGATTGTGCTTTGATGAAGCACTGAAGGGCCCTTTTCCTAAATGGCCTGAGTGGGTGGAGGTCGATTCCTTCCAAGACATCTCTTTGACCCCCAGTTTCGTGGACTCGGAATGTGAGGTTATTCACGAGGAGTCAGTTTCTTTTGTCCAGACTCCCTGCCAATACCGCGCGTGCTGTGGGCCTGGCTGCCTTTGGAGAGAGCGCTGATCCACCCCTGAAGGGAAAGCGGTCTGCAGAGGTTCAGAAATCCACCTCTTACCTGACACGAGCCCACCCTGCCTTCCAGTACCCTCCCTGCCCCCTAGTCAGTCTAGGTTCACCCCCATCCTCCTGATCATACCTCCGAGATGCTGTGCTAACAACCCTCCTGGCACAGCATCTCATCACCTGCCTGTAAGTGGGGGTGCAGAATTCGGTGCTTATCTGAGCTGATGTTAAAGCAGTTTCCAACTTGTTCCGGCACAAGCTTTGCTGATGGGTGGCATCCGTGGTGATGCTCCCAGATGGTTTGAAATACATTTTGTGGAGGCCACAGCTCACACGACCAGAGTCGGGGACTATGACACCCGTACGCCCACAGAGGAAGGGAGCAGGTTTGCCCCAAGCTGTTTCTTTCCTGCTCATAACCCTTCTCTCCAGAAACGCAGATGGGACAGGGTCCAAAATGGCCGCAGCGCATCAGGCCAGGCTATTCATGCTTGTGTGCTGCTGGCACGCAGGGTACCTTCTTTCACTGCAGGAGCATCTGTCTTGAGTGGGGGGGGGTTTAGCAGGAGGACGCCGCCTCCCCCTCCCCATGGGCGTGTGGTGCTGGAAGTGCCTTTTTCTCCTTCGGGTTTTGAGGCCCAGGCCGATCCGGCCTTTCCCTTTCCTGCCAGCTGGTGGGAGACCTCCCGCTGCTCTGGACACCCCTTGATGGGGGGCGGGGTGGCAGTTGGATGGAGAAGGCCAGCCCGACCG